TTTCAAAAGTCATTTAAAACTTATTTTTCTCTGATAATTGTGTGTATTTTTAATAGCAACCTTTTTTTGTTCATCTCAAATTTTAGCCGTACTATCTATGTCAATACCTGAGATTATTGAGCTGCTAGATTTGTTGCAATATGGAAATCCCATTGCATCCTTTAAAATACCTTTTTGTTTATCAAAATCATTGATATGTTTTCCCCAAAATATGTTCCTTCAAGAAAATTCTATGATCAAATAAGTTTGGGGAATGCTGCTGTTGAAATGTTGTGTTGAATATGCAAGGAGAGTAACGACATATATTAGCATGTCAAAGTCTCTGAAAGGTACTGCCTGAAAGAAACCCATATTTAACTGTGTTCAGCAGCATTTCTCAATTTAGTTGATGTCAGACGCTTTTTAAGGGCTTGACCTTTGTTAACATCTATTCAATTTCTATGCTTGTGAAATGCTGGTCTAGAGAAATAATTATTTTTAAGTAAGTCATCAGAAATATTCTGCATTTTCTGACAGTCTCTGAAGTCTTCACTGCTGTTAAATGCAGGTAGTCTTGCCCCAAAATTGCAGGATTGTGGTGGTGATTTAAGTAAATCCTCACAACTGGATTATATTTAACTCACTAATGTAAAAAAATTATTTCTGAGTTCTTATACTGTACTCAGCCCTACATGAATAGATGGGATTGGGGACAGGGATTATATACCATGTGACCTGGCCTCTGTTTTCAAGGAGTTTAAATCTTAAAGATATATGAGACTCAAATGCAGACAAAGTTACTGAAGGCAACAGAACTTTATGTGTGCCAATAAGTGCTAAGCTGTTATGTTGACCCTAGGAGTCTTGGGATATTAGAAGTAGTGAAGGCCAAGGTAGTCTCCAAGGCTGGTGAGGAATTGAGAGAGCTGAACCTTGAACTGTGTCTTCAAGAGTGGGCAGGTATGATCAGGCAGAGTGGAAAGACAAAGTGGGATAAAGGCATGTAAATTGCATGAGTTGTGTGGTAAAATCTCATGGTGTGGGTGACCTGAAAGAGATCAACCTGCTTGTCCTGGGAGAGAAGAGGAGCTTCAGTGTTTTGCAAAAATAGAACTACTATCAATGTAGAAAATAAGAACTGCCCCTCCTTATTTTCTCTCCAAATCCTGGAACCTAGAATGTCTTCTAAAATGTCAAATTGTATTTAGTTTATTTCTTTGGAATATACAAAAGTACTAATACTTGACTACTTAGAGAAGTTCACATGATTAAAAACAAGGATGTTTTGGAGAATGAAGGGGAGGATGGGCATTGGAGAGTAGTCAGAAATAAACACACCTTTAGGCAAGTGTCAATGAAATGCTGTTTTCTAAGGAGTCAGCAACCAAACCTATGTGTCAGGGTCAGTTAGGTCTGTTTCAAGGGATGTTCTTTTTTTAGTTCACTAGATATTTACTGAGCAAAATCATTGCCTCTTTCTGTAATGAAGCCACGTAGGTATCTCAGCAGTAGTCTGTACTTGACTAAGAGTCATGGCTTTGACTGATACAATCAACAAAAGGCCTTTTTTTTTTTTGAGACAGAGTCTTGCTCTGTCACCCAGGCAGGCATGCAGTGACCTGATCTTGGCTAACTGCAACCTCTGCCTCCTGGGTTCAAGCAGTTCTCATGCCTCAGCCTCCCTAGTAGCTGGGATTACAGGTGCATGCCACCGTGCCCAGCCCATAATTTTTAAAATACGTGTTTATATGATTTATGTTGAATCTGATAGATGTTTATATTATTCATTCTCATTTCATTTGTTTTTCAACTTGTTAAAAGATGAACTTGGTGCATTAAAATGTTAAAGAATTTATTTGTGCGGATAGTGATTCAAGAATTGGGCAGCTCCAAACTGAAAGGGGTTTGGGGCTCCACTGAAGGGTCATGAAGGGAAAGCTTTTGTAGGGTGAACTCAGAAGGAAAGCAAAGAAATTATTTGATTGGTTAAAGTTGGAGCAGTTGTTTCATTTGTACTGTCCCAGTGGAAAATTCTTGATTATATACCTAATGCTCAGTTGGCTGCTGGTGATTGGAGGTGATTGGCTGAATTTAAGTTTTGTTTTGTTTATGTAGAAACCCAGGACCTTGAAGCCATCTCAGCCTGTTAAGTTTATTTTAGTACTTTATATATATGAAAGAGATGAAGATTAAGATAAGATTTCATATGTATATGAAATTTTTAATTTTTACATTGTAATATCACATGAGGTTGTTTTTTTTTTTTTTTCCACCCTAAAGGATAGCATACTGTATTCGCTTATAGTGTCAGTATTACTGATACTGGAAACATTTTTTTTTTTCACAACTACCAAAGAAGGACATATAGCCTCTAGAGTTTGGGGCAGTAACCTTGAATCTGAATTAGGATGAGTGAGCAGCCCATCACCTCATTCAAACCTTAATAAGGTATATCAATGAATGAAGTACAGGGTGTATCAATAAATGAAGTACAGCGTATATCAATGAATGAAGTACAGGGTGTATCAATGAATGAAGTACAGTTATGATGCGCTACAGGGTTTACTTTTCCTTCTGTAGCAAGGATCCTTGTTCTAAACCGAATGATGAGTAAGTCTGGGTAGCAGCAGATGAGCTTTGTGGCTTCCCTTTTTTCTTTTCTGCCCAGTCTCCATTTATTCTTAACAAGCAGTCTTTACTCAGAAACACAAAAGAAGGTAGCAGAATTATGTTGGTATTCCCATGTTATGGGCTATCTTCTAAGTGATAAAGACTTTTAAAGTGCTTAAAATGCTGAAATAGAATTGGTTTTCTAAGAAGAATGAAGAAAACCTTCTTGGAATGTTGGTGAAGAAAGGATAATTTTGTTGCTGACGGCTAAGAAGGTGAATGTACTACTGGCTACAAACCAGCACTGGTTCATTGCTGCTGCTGGTGGTTGTTATTGTGCTGTGGCTGTGGCATAAAGGGCACATATGAGAATTCCAGAGAGCTCACTGGGATTCCCCTAGTCTGTCCCAGCCCCGTTGGTTACTGGGTTCATCATAACGTAAATGGGAAACCTACATTTAATTACCTTTGGTCCGTGCTGTTTCATATAATGGCCTTATTGTAACCCAAGTGACTTTTCTTTCCTTTGTTAAATAAAGCAGTGATTTACATGGCTTTTAAAGAATAAAGCAAGCAAAATGAGAAGGTGTAGTCAAAAATGTGGTTCATAAAGTTTTATTATTGTTCTACCTACTTAGAACTGAGGCCTTTCTGAATAGTCTTCCACTTAAGAACATTTTCATGGCAGAAATCTCAAGTTTTTTAACAGTGTGGAAATCCATGACTTGCTTAGAATTAAAAACGCTTGTGCATTTTTATTTTTAACCTCTATAAATGTTTATCTTGTTTTAAAGGGTAGACATACAAATATGTTGAGACTTGCTTAATGGCAGCCAGAGATACCAGTTATTCTAGTTCCCCTCTAAAACCTGAAGACAAAAATCACATTCCCATTGTGTCTGTCTGAGGGAATGACATAAGGCAATAAGGGGTCACTCTCTTTCAGCTAATTTGTAGAATTTCAAGAAAATGATGTTTCAACTTCATCATTATAAGAATGGGATGATTTTTCTTCCCTGCACTCAAAAGTATAGAATTATGCATGTGATTGGACATTTTTTTTCCCCTGCTACTGAGCTCTCAGTTTTGTTCGAGTCCCTCAGAGCTCTGTAAGGAGTGTCACACCCAGTGATGGATAAAAGGCATCCTGCTGTTTTTGCGTGTACTTTTCTGTGTCCTCTGCCCTGGAAAATCTATTTTCTTAGCCGCATGATTCTATTTCCTATGAAGAAGGATTAAAGCCATAGGGTAAATGCCCCCATTTCTTTTTCATAGTAATTTTACAGTTTATGAATTGAGGATATCAGTGGTTGATCAAGAGTAACTATCAGGAAGGCCAAGAATTGTCTTAGGATTGCATAACTTAGAAATCATAATTGAGCTCCTTAATTTTGTACATGAAGAAAATATTTACAAAGCAAGTCAACCTAACATTTTATTGCCTTGAAAACTGTTTCCTAGCCAAATGCAGTGGTTCACACCTGTAATCCCAGCACTTTGGGAGGCTGAGGTGGGGGGATTGCTTGAGGTCCGGAATTTGAGACCAGCCTGGGGCAACATAGTGTCTCTTAAGAAAGTAAAAAATTACCCAGGTGTGGTGGCACACACCTGTAGTCCTAGTTATTTGGGAGGCTGAGGTAGGAGGATCAGTTAAGCCCGGGAGTTCAAGGTTGCAGTGAGCCATGATCGCATCACTGCACTCCATCCTGAACAACAAAGTGAGACCCCATCTCTGGAGAAGAAAAGAAAGAAAACTATTTCCTTTTCAGAGTTTTTTCCAGGTGCAGTTTCAGTCATTTCTGAGTTATTAACGTGTAGAAACAGATGTTTTAACAAGTGCATGTGTCGCTGATGGTGGGGAAAAAATGGAAACTTACTTTTAAATGTCTATTCAGTGTTAAAGTATATGAGTTATTTAAAACCGTGGTTTTTAAATGAGAAAAACTCCCACATATATTATCTTAGAGTATACGTATTTATCAAAGGAAAATATGTATATATTTTAACAAAAATTTAAGAAAAATTTAAATATAAAAATTGATTTAAAAATATTTAATCACATGCAGTAAGGATTGTGGCATCTTTCTTTATCTTGATGCTCTGCCATTGGCATTTCTTAAAAATCATTAAAAATATCTGAATGATTGTCTGATTTCATTCTGTGGAACCAAGAGAGAAATTATATTGTCCATGCTATGTTTTTGAGCAAATATTAAGAGTTTATCACTTGAGTCAGTAATGTGTTTGAATTTGGCTTCTGATCTTCATGAAGAAGAATATCTTTCAGATCATGTTATCAAGGTGCTGAATTTACCTTATGTTTTTTCTCTTTCATTGTTTCGCTCTGATGTGGCTGCTGTGTTGACAACCCTCTGTATCCCTGCTGCTGAATTTTTTTTCCCATCATTAAGGAAACCTCCCAAGGTAAGCACTAATATGAAATTTGGCATGTATACTGCTTTAGTTTGCAAAAATCCAGGATTTAATTTATCACTGTAACCCATGTAGAACATCTGTCTCACTGAGAACTAAAAACAGCATCCTAATTTAAAACTCACACCATGAACAAACAATTAATGTCAGTATTAACATAAAGTTAGAATGTCAGTCTACATTGACAGAGCACTTTCACACATTATTTCATTCTCGGAGTGAATGCTGTAATCTTCAAAGCAAACCTGTCAGATTATTGTTTCTCTTTTCTTGATGATGAAATGAGACTCAGAGAGATGAAACAGCATGTCCTAACTCACAGATTGAGTGAATGGAAGAGCTGGAACTGTACAGTATCAACACCCTAGAATGTGGAGGAACAACTATGGTGATATCATAGGATGGTAGTTGGTAACCATGATTACTGATTGGACAAACCATCTTTTCCTGGCCCCACTGAGATTGGTTGTTATCATTGGAAAAGTTCTTCACACTTTTAAATAGAGATTCAACATTCTACCAACTTTATATGCCTCATTGGAGTTCCTAGCCCATCACAATGGCCACTAGTTAGTTTTTTCCCCACCTGCTCTGGCCAACCTTTGATGGCCTCTTTACCAGTGAGAAGCCTAGAAGTTAGAGAATAGTTAGAGGAGGGAAGTGGGGGAATATGAGAAGTAAGGAATCTGAATGACCAGCCCCTGAATAACTGAAGATTGATTTTGTTACCAGTGAGTATTTTGTTGAGTATCAGAGGGACACTTAGCACCAAAAGGAATGAGAAATTTGACCACCCCCTGGCCAGTGATGCTGATTATAGCTGTGTTTCTTGAGATAGGATTAGAACAGGCTTACCTACACAAACGATATGGTTGGAATCTAAGACAAGTTGGGTGACGGTATGGAATCCAGAAAAGACAAAGCTTACTTTCCCCTGGGGTTATGAAGAACAATCCATCTCAGATTATGGCAATCCACTAAAATGCTGCTGTATGCCTTCTACTTACTTAAGACATTGTCCTTGGCACTAAGAGTTTCAACTTTAGCAAGGAAGGCATGCATTGAACAAATGATATGAGATCTGTTAAGAAAGTAGAAATATATAATATATTAGAAAAGTGTTGGCAGTGGCATTCTGGCCAAATCTAGGGAATCAGGAGATTCTCCCGGAGCAATTGTCAGTGTAGACATAATCCCCAAAATTGGTCTCTACTAGAATGTATAAGTGCTGTTTATCTAGTTTTTATATCCCTTGCTGTTGGTTCCCCAAAGTTTCAGAACAGTCAGTCTTGTAGTACAAAGTATTCCCCCACAGAAAAATATCAATGAAATACTGCACAACTCCACATATACCTGCTTAGTGAAGGAAAAGCACTGAAATGAAAAAGAGATACAAAAACATTTTTAAAAATCACTATTGCTTGGTACACAGGAATGTTCTTGTCATTTTCTAGTGAGCATATATAACCTAGTGGTTCCCAGCCTTATTTTTGCTGGATATCCTGTTGATTGTTCCTAAGAAGTGTCATGAAATTTTCAAAATAAAAGTAAAGCTGAATCACGATGTTAAACAATGCGTATATACGTGCCATAAGGCACATCTGGAAAGCATAAAGATCATCTTGAAATCAAATAAATGACTCAATAGAATCAAATAAAGATGGATACAAAGTAGATACAGGCCTTTCCTCATAGAAACATGTAAATGTTGAAAGAAAGTGGGAAAGAGCAAGGTGCTTTTAATGATGATTATGTAAGAATAAAATTTTATTTAAAACGATGAGATTTGGGCATAAGTAATCAAAAGCATCGGAGAAGCCTGGTTGTTTCGATTTAACAAATAATTATTCTGGGCAGGGGACAGCTGCTGCATGAGTCAGAGTCCTAGCATTCTAATGGGAGTTGGGGGAGGGGAGTACAGTTGAACCCTGAACGACACAGGTTTGAACTGCCCAGGTCCACTTATATGCAAATGTTTTTCAACCAAATGCAGATAGAAAATACAGTATTCGTGGGACGTGAAACCCATGTATACAGAGGGCCAACATTTCCTATAGGTGGGTTCCAGGGGACCAACAGAGTAGGACTGGAATCTGTGTGGACTTTGGTATACATGGAAGTTCTAGAACCAATTTCCCACATATACCAAAAGATGATTGGTATGTGTACAATACAATGTAAAATTGCTTATATTAAAGACAAGAGGCAAAGTATTTGTGAAATTCATAGAATGAAAGTTCCTGTTCAGACTTCTGCTGTCAGAAATGACAAACTAAGTAATTAGCATTGCCTTTTCTACTGAGGACAACTAGGACTGGACAAAATATTAAAAACTTATGCCTGAAGGCACTGGAGATAAGCCAGGTTACTGAGGAATTACTAGACCAAGATCCAGAAAGAGGTAAAAATTTAGAGAGATGAGCCTAGCATTTAGATATATGCCGTTCAGGAAGGAGCGGCTTAAAGACGGAGCAAATACATATAGACGGACTGCTTTTTGGGGCTGAGGAGGACAAAGTATTAGAGTTCAGGTCCTTCCGGAGGTGGAGTCCTTGCTAATCTCCTTATACTTTGGGTTGGTAAAGTTGATTGAGATGCCGCCAGGGGTAGGGTATGAAGGTGAAACAGAGGTAAACCAGCCATCACATGGATTCTTGTGTGGTTCCAAGTCGTTTGTATGATCCAGGAAATCTCAAGCACAAAAATTGGAACAAAGTGATACCAGAATGCAGGTGCCCATAGGCACCTGGCAGAAGTGAATGAAATCCTAAGTCTTTAGTGATTCCACAAACTGTTTTAAAAATACAATGTCCAATATACCATCAAAGTTAAGGAGGTACATGACAAGATGTGAAGAGCCAGCAGAAATAATAAAAATTAGAAACAGATGCTTCAGATGGCCAAATTATTAGACAAGAACTCCAAAATAAATATATTTGTTATCTTCAAAGACCTAAAATATGAGATTGAAAATGTTGGAGAGAACTAGAAATTATAGAAAGTGGCATAACTGATTTGGAAAATAACCCAATAGAAATAAATCCTCAATCTGAAAAACCCAAAACCGAAATTAATAATTTAGTACAAGGGTTTAGCAGCAGATAGATCCAGCTGCTTTGAATCCATTCTTAAGAAGATCCAAATGCCTAGCTGGTCCAGTTGAGTTAATGATAACTCAGCCATGGTTGAGTTACCATTATTCTTACCCAACTGCTATGCAGGAAAGGTCTCACATCCTTTCTATCAATCCCTGGGACTGTACTCTTTGAATACCATTATTAGTAGTAACAGCTTTCTTTAATTGAGAGGGAGTTGGGATAGGGATGAATAAGTAAAGCATAGGGGAAACTGTATTGTGTGATACTGTAATGGCCGATATATGACATTATGCATTTGTCAGAATTCATAGAACCATACGGCTCAAAGAGTGGACCTTAATATAAACTGTGGAGTTTAGTTATGAATAATGTATCAATATTGGTTCATCAGTTATAATAAATGTACCACACTAATAAAGATGTTAATAATTGGGGAAACAATTCTTGACAGTAGAGAGTGGGAACAAGCAGGACTATATAGGAACTCTGTACTATCTGCCCAATTTTTCTGTAATCCTAAAACTGCTGTAAAAAACAAAAAGTCATGATTATGAAAAAATCACTGTAATTCTTATTAACAGAATGAAAAAGAAAAACTATGTGATCATATCAGTAAGATGCAGAAGAAGGCCAGGTGCAGTGACTCACGCTTGTAATCGCAGGCCTTTGGAAGCCAAGGCGGGAAGATTGTTTGAGACTAGCCTGAGCAACATAGCAAGACCTTGTCTCTACTAAAAATAAAAAACAAAAAAAGTTAGCAGGGCATGATGGCGTGGGCCTGTAGTCCCAGCTACTCAGGAGGCTGACGTGGGATGATCACTTGATTATGGTAAGTTGAGGCTGTAGTGAGCTTGATCATGCAACCGCACCCCAGCCTGGGTGACAGACCCCCCGTCTCAAAAAAAAAAAAAAAATGGGGTGGGATGTGGTGGCTCACGCCTGTAATCCCAGTACTTTGGAAAGCCAAGGTGGGCGGATCATGAGGTCAGGTGATCAAGACCAGCCTGGCTAACACAGTGAAACCCCGTCTCTACTAAAAATACAAAAATTAGCCCGGTGTGGTGGTGGGTGCCTGTAGTCCCAGCTACTTGGGAGGCTGAGGCAGGAGAATCACTTGAACCTTTGAAGCAGAGGTTGCAGTGAGCCAAGATTGCGCCACTGCACTCCAGGCTGGGCAACAGAGCAAGACTCTGTCTCAAAAAAAAAAAAAAAGATGCAGGAAAAAAAGCATTTGACAGAATTCAATACTTATGAATTTATGATACAAACTTGCAGCAAGCTAACAGTAGACAGAAACCTCTATATGATAAAAGGCCCATGAGAAATCTACATCTGACATCCTATGTAATAGTAAAAGACTGAATAGTTTCTGCCTAAAATGGGGAATAAGGCAAGGACATTGATCTAACCACTTATATTGTGCATTGACAGGAAGTTCTAGGCAGTGCAGTTAAACAAGAAAGAGAAGTAAAAGAAATTCAAGATGGAAAGGAAGTAGCAAAAGTATATTTACAATAAGGTACAATAAGGTTGTATACTTGGGAAACTTTAAGAAATCTGCAAACAAGCTCCTGCAAGGTGGCAGAAGAAAGGTCAAAATACATTTCTTTATACTATCAATAAACAATTCAAAAATAAAATTTTTAACCATCAAAACATCAAAAACAGTAAATACTCGGGATACATTGAGTGAAAAACATGCAGAGCTTCTAAAAGCCCACATATGGTTATTTGATTGTAGACAGATGTGCCAAGAGATAGAACTAGAAGAGTGTCAACTGTGCTCAGGTAAGGAAGGGCAAGGCATCGATTGGACTAAAGGTACATGAAGAGGAGTCCTGGGTGACTGAACTGTATGTACCCACAGCACTCCTGACACCAAATATATGGTGT